TATAAACTCGCCCAGGCCCCATAAAGTGACACCATCAACATTTGAAACTAAATAATTTTAAGAAGTTATTTATACTCTATAATTTATATATTAAACCCATTAAATAAAATCATATTAGTTTTTGATAAATCAAATGTTATAACTTGAATATTTATAAATATGTTTACTCGAATGAATCAAATTACAACACTGATTTATTTCTTTAAATATACAAATCTGTTAAACAGCAATAATTACTATAGAAAATACTGTTGGCAAAATAATGGACATGTTACGATATGTCGATGTTGTTTCATGGATATGTGGCCGAAAAATTGTAGGTTAGCGACGTTCCAATAAAATATTGACTGAATTTTTTCTGTCGATTTAGTAAATACCTATTTATTTATTTCTCGCTTTCAAAAAAAAAAAATTTTTTTCGATTTAGAGATTAATTATCTGTCAGTTTTTTTTTCTTGAATTTACTTTTATTATTATTATTTATTTGAACACTATAAAATAAACATAATACAGAATATTTCAATTTTAAAAGTTAAAATATTAACATCTCCTTTAAACGAAAGCTTGCATTGGAGACGTTCAGTTGCTAAAAATAAGATGAACAATACACATATTACAGACTAGACTAAAAATGTTAATTTAAACTAATGTTTCAAAAAAAAAAAAAAAACAAGAACAATTATTATTGATAGGTTATGAATATAAATATAAAATAATGAAATTGAATTTGGTTGAATTTGGTCAAATTATCCTAAGAATAAAATTTTTAAATTGATTTATGTTACAAAAATTATTAATATTTAAACAAAGCGTTATACAAAGTTCATTAGCATAACTTAGGCAGCTCTTACTTCTAAAATTTTTATTATATTTAGTTGCAATTTAATTGACATTTTTCTTAAACCTAATGTTATTGTAGATATTCGGGCATTTAGGAAGATATTTTTTATGTTTAAAAGATAATAGCAGTAAATTTAGCTTGAAAAGTCTATCAAAGTCACACATATTAGATTCCTTATAAATCAATAAAGTCTTGGTTATTTTAATATAAACTTAACAATTTTATTTGGAGTAATTTTAATTTTATTAAAATGGATATCAAAAGTGTTACTCAAAATCCCAATACTAATACACCAACGACATTTATATGATTCTTAATTGTTGTTTATCTAATATATTGATACACGCCGACGGTCTAGCGATAGTTTCACAAGGAAATACGTTTAAACAAGTTGAACAAACACTCATACATGCGTTGGAGAAATTGGATAGGTACTATATACAGAACTCACTAAAACCCAACCCTAAAAAAACGCAAGTAAGTACATTCCACATCAACAATAAGCAGGAAAGAACGGAACTTAAATTACAGTGGCGGGGCATACACTTTGAACATACACAAACACCTACGTACCTAGGAGTGATATTGGATAGGACATTAACCTTCAAAAGTAACTGCGAAAAAATCAAAATGAAAGTTGCAACATGAAAGAACCTAATAAGGAAATTAGCGGGGATAATGTGGAGAGCTAATCCTCAGCTTTTAAGAACCACAGCACTCGCTTTATGCTGAGAGCATGCATGACAAGTATGGAGTAGATAGGGTGATGCGAAAAAGGTAGATGTAGCTTTAAATGAAACGTGCCGCTTAATTACCGGATGCTTAAAACCCATACCCGTACCTTTGGTACAAGTTATTGCTGGCATAGCACCCCCCGATATTAGAAGAATTATGGCCAGTGATGCTCAAAACACAGCCCAAGCAAATGATGAAAGACACCCACTCCATGGATACCAACTATCTCCAAGCAGACTGAAATCAAGAAAAAACTTTTTGAAATTAACTACGGAGATCACAACATCACTTAAGCATGAACGACATCCAAGATGGATAGCTTTGAACCAAACTAATAATTTTAAAATAAAACCAATGGAAAAACTTCCACCCGGTTATCGCAACGAATGGAAAACCTGGAAAATACTTAACTGATTGATAGTAGGTGTTGCCCGAACAAAGAAAAATCTACGTAAGTGATACAATGCGGGAACCATAGACTTTGTCTGTGAAAGTGAACAAACAAAACTATATAAATTAGTGTGCCTCATAAACCCATTGTCATGCACACATGAAGAACTGGCGAATGCAACGGACGCGGTTATACAAAAAGCCAATCAATGGAGTACAACAGGAGTATAACAAAACAAAGCATCTATATTATAGCTTGGACACGATAAGAAGAAGATCTAATATATGCCATAAATTCATAAAAACATAAAAAAAAAGAACGATTATTTTAATAATATAATCAATATAGATATTCCACTAAAGATGAGAACCAATATAATATTTAACTATTTAAATTGTACTACATTGCCACTTATACGTGAATAGCGTATTGGCTTGCACAATTTCAAGTGAAAAAATACGCCCGTCGCTCTGTAGCGGATAGCTGAATAAAAGGTGAAAAATCATTTAGTATAAAATAATCCATTTTTTATTATTTTTGATGGTAAATAGGTAAATTGTGTGTTAACGTAAGCAAGTATTTATACCTGCTAAGAAAAAACATTTGATCATTTGAACATTTGACCATTCAACGCTCGCATGTCTTGAATTTTGTCTAAAATACGAAAATTGCATTATTTTATATTCTAAATGCAGCAATGAATGTATCGGTATTACTATGATATATTACGTGTACTTGTTTTTGTTTTCATTTTATTTTTGTCGTGTTTATGAACTAATTTTATACTAGCTATATCATTTTTTATCACGATATTTTCAATTGTATCATCCACCAGGATCACCAACATGCATGGAGATTATAATTTTTGAGTTTCATTAGATTCACCCTCTAATTACACATTACAACGTTTTAGAAATTCAGTTTATCAAGTGATCCTACCATTGCTCATTAGAAATCTATCTTAATTAGTAGGTTTATTTATTCGTAACTTATTCAGTCACATTTAGATCACATACATACCAGATCAAGGCAGCTTTTGCTGTGCTTTGACCGCTCACAACTTTGTGGCTTTTTGACAATTTATTATTAAAGAATTTTCTTACACAACAATATATTTATCATATTATATAAACGGGTATATTAGGCAGGTAATATCGTACATAAAGCTAAACCGTGTTATTCTTTTTTTTTTTTTTTAAGGCATTTAAAGAACGATTTAATTTCAAACCGTTTTAACTTTGAAGACCATCGTCGTAAAATAATATAAACGTATAGGTACTAATTTACTCCGAATTTACGCGTAGGTATAGGTAAGCGCGAGTACGTAATATATTAAAATATTATACAGTGTCGTTTTAACGAAACGATTAAAATCGCCGTGTAGTTAAAACCGTTACCATAAATCTAACCGCGTTTCTGATATAAATACCCGGCGCCATTCCGCCCTCGTCATTTTATTACACTTACCGTCTTTGGCCGCTATATGTTTACATACATATATGTATACAGAAATACTCGTATATAAAAAGATTAGGTATATAATATACGGGCGTGTTTTATATATAGGTAAACGAATAAAATCCCGACTTTATATTATAACCGCGGTCGCGGTCGATGGTCAACACACGCGCGTTTATTGGACTGTTATTGTAACACCGCGTCCCAGAGTTTCCGTGTCGTACTATGTTTATACCGTAATAATATATTATTGTTATTGTATACACCCGAAACGTATATTTTAGACACTGAGCCTAATGTTAGGAATGTATTGGTTTTACGAGGATATTTTTTCCGTCTGCAAACATTTTTTGTCTACCAGAAATCTTTCTCCAATTGAAAAACTACTAAAGAGCCTTAAGTAGCATTTAAAATCTATTACTTTAGTGGGATAATTTTTTATTTTCCTTCAAATTTTCTTAATAATTGGGAAAAAAAACTTGAACATTTTCGTAATTATACATATTACTTACTAGTTAATAATAATAATATGCAATTATATTTCCGAACGTGCATTTCAGCAATACCTCCCTCCCTCAAATGCTAGTGATTGGACTTTTTTTTTACTAAATATTTAGCGTGTAATAAGTGTGTAGTTAGAGATTTCAATAATCGCATTGAGGCTATAGCTCAGTTGTGCCCCGAGGGATGTAGACAGATGTAACAGTTATTTATTGGAAATAAACTAGTTTTTTTTCTTTAGTTTTGTATGAATAAAAAAATATAAATATAAAATAAAAGCAAAAATGATCGAAAATTCAATACGAAATTTATTATTCATTTAATCTAGTAGTAAAAAAAAAAAATTGAACGTAATGTAGTAATTTTTATAAGCGTTAAGTTTTAAGTTTGATAGAAATCGTAAAAATCACGGTACATCAAAATTACGTTCAAAGTAGTTTTTTTAGCAATGATCTATCAGATTTATAACAGTAGCTAAAAGCGGTCCTTGGTAGAAACTCACTAGGATACAAAAATTCTCATGATTTACAAATCCTTAGAGTGTTTTGACCTCACAGCTCCTTAAACATAATTTATGTAATTACTTGATGTTTTCTTTCTACTACCACAAAATTAGTAATATTAGTGTTTTTATCGAATTAATAATCCGTATTATTATGCTGTCTAAATATGACAAAGAATATGTTTGTTTACTTTAATATTTTTGACTGTTGCCCGCGGGCGCAAAATTATATGTTTGCCACCTCTGAAAAATCTTGCATGGATGCAACTGCACCCTTATATCTCACTTCCTCAAATGTTATCACTAACGGTGGTACACCCGTTTTTTCTTCTCTTTTTCCCTGTCGTTTCCAAGGGCTGTAAAAACACCACCTCCTGTTAAATCGGATATTTTTTACATCAGACGACGATTTTCTACGTCTGACCGCTCGAATTTTTAACCTATTATAATAGGTACCCATATAATAATATACGGTAGTGACGCGGTTTAGTTTTTTTTTTTGTTTTACTGCGAGTCTTCGGAAAACGAATAATATAATAGTATAATAATACACATAGGTAATCGGCAGCAACATGGCGGCGGCGGTTCTTTTATCTTTCGGGCTCTCGCGGTTTATTATAGAGTATGATGATAATATTATAATATTATAGTGACGGCCGGACGCCGCCGCCGGGGAAGAAGAATCGTCGCGGACTTTGGATTTCGGGGTCGTTCGCGTGTCGGTTCCCGACTTACAAACACGCGTACACACGCACACACAGACACACACACGCCCGAATACAAACAACAACAACGACGTGTGGGCTGCGAAAAAATAAAATGAAAACCGGGTTCACCTACACACACGACGCTTATCGCGCCCACCGGACGCCGCAAAATCCATTTTTGGATATACCTATACGACGACCAATGGATTGTACACACGGCACTACTATGAGTCGTCGTCGTACACTTACATCGCATATTATTATTATTATTATATTATCTAGTCGTATACGATTTTATATTGTAATTTAGGTACACGGTACACGCGTCTAATACAATATATATATATATATATAAGAAAACGGAAACTTCGCGGAGATGACGACGGAGTGTGCGCGAGCGCGCCTTTTGTGAGACGAAACGACGTAAAAAATGAAAAAGACTTTGTGCCGAATCATCGCGTCGTCGTCGTCGTCGTCGTCGTCGTTTATATAGAACGAAATTTCACTCGTATAATATTATAATATTATAATCGTTTTATATAGATAATATGTTTTCCCCTCATACAAGCAAGAGCCAGTGTTCCGCTTGACACTCGGGCACCGTCACACCAGTGTCGTATACAATATGGGTTTATTGTTCACGATTGTCGTTTATAATAAAATATCATACGAAATAATATTACACAATATGCCCAGGCTCCAGGTACTCGACACTTTGTCCGTTTTCAAAAGAGGAGGGAATACGATAATAATATTACGATGCCCGGCGCGATGACCATATGGCCGCGCGGACTTTTAAAACGCGCGGTTATAATTCCAACGGTTAATTATTTATTTTATTTATTTCCAAACACGTCGTAAACTCCGTCGATAATATACATTATTCGTTTACGTCTAATATAATATTAGTTAACGTTTGCATATATATACGCGCGGGCTTAAGGGGGGCGGGAATATACCCCTCCTGGAATCGTTTATTTCATATTCAACCCGAAGCGATTTTCTCTGATTTGTTTTTCTTCTCGCGTCGGTCTTCAGCTCTATATTCTTCATTTGCTTTCCCAAAAAGCAGTGTTTCGTATCGCCTTGTCTGAAATGTTGGCTGTTAAAGTCTAGTGAACATTTAAAAATATATTTTTAAAAGAAAATTAGTATGAAACTAGTATGAATTTATAGTTTGTACCTCTATTTAAAATAATAATAATATTAATGTTAATAATTTCATTGATAATATTATATATTATCATATTATGTTTTTATCGACTAAATCAACAACCGAAACTATGAAAATGTAACTATATGGACGGACGGCCACATCGGGTATATAATATTATGCAGTGGCGTATTAACGGGGTGGGGGACAGTTTTCAAAATATTTAATTAATACCGTGAATTTGTTTTGTTATCGATTCGGTACCAAACATGGTTTAAAATTACTGAGTTATTGGTTACTAAACAAACGCTCTACTGTTATAAAAATTAATTAATTATATTTACAATCAGTTGAATGGAATAGTTCTTTTGTAGAATTACAAATTTGGAAAGTTAAAATAAACAATGGATATGTCAATACTAAAAGTGAATTAGACGCACTTGTGAACTGTTTGAAGACGGATTATAAATTTTCCAAGCATACATTTTTTAATTCAAATTTTTTGTACATTGCCAGTATCTACAGCTGCTCCAGAAAGATGTTTTTCAACCTTAAAAAGACTACAAAATTATGTATTTAGGAAATATTTACTGTAAGATTTACAACCTTACTATATTTGAAATTTTTTTTGTCTTTAGGATAGGCTAAATGGACTGGCATTGATGTCAATTCATCGGGACATACCCCTCAATGTGGACGCTATTATTGACGAAATGGCGCTTAGTCCTAGCCGATTAGATTTTGTTTTGTAATCATAGAATAAAATGTTATGTAATTTGTTTTTGGATATTGCTTTTGTGGATAGGTAATTTTTGACATTATCTTAACCTAAATGTTTCAGTTTTCCATTCAGTGTAATCGCTAAGTTGCCACGGAACTTGTCATGATATTAAAAAAATTTTACATCGACTTATAAAATAAATATGGTATATTTATTTGATAAAGAGTAATTGGAGGGTGTGGGGGGTTAAATCACTCACGGCTCTGTATTCTAAACATTTTTTAGATCCTCCCATAACAAATTTCTAAATACGCCACCGATATTATGGTGTTGTAAACTTATAAAATTATAAAGTAAAACGTAAAATATGAAAACTATTACTTATTTACATGTATCTATGTGAAAACTACGGCCATAATATATAATAGTATTGTTATAACATTATATAATCGAGAAGTCACGCATTATTCGTAGACGTAGTGAACATAAAACAAAGAAATCTATTTGTATAATTATACTATACTAATTTATCTTATTTTTATCGTTTTTTTAGCGGGATCGTTAAATTAATTTAATACGATTTATATGTTTTATCGTATTCAACGGGTACCTACTTGCTTTTCGTGTAATGACGATTGCGCAGAAATAGAACAGTGATGTCACTGTTTTCTCAGTCCTCCGGGTTTTAACGCACGTAGACTCTTGTCTTCTCCGATCGGTCCGCTATAATATTATTATCTAATTAGACTCGGTCCACTTCTGCAGTATTCGTCGATATCAGATAAAACAACAATAATAAATTGTTTGACCAATTAAAATCGTATTTATAGATACCGTCTGTAGTTCAACAACGAAATCGACACAAAAATAACTACTGCTGCGAGTACCTACCCACCTTTCAGATTCTGAGTGTAACGATGAGAAATGTAGTATTGATTTAACTATAATATAATGATGTGTGATTTTAGTTTATTTTTTAATTGTTCCTCTCTATGAACAACTTTTCTGTCGGAAATCTTGTTTCAATCATTCAACATTTTTAAGGGCATTGTTTTAGCACCATTTGAGATCTAGTTTGAGAAGTCGTTTTTTATATTCATCGTAATATCCTTAACAATAGGGAAAATCTGTTATATTTACGTAATAACGGTATCTGTTATTTTCGATTTGGTTTTTGTTGTAATTTCAATTGAATAAAATCATGGGAGCCAAAAACATTTTCATCGAAAACCTATATTAGCACTTTTTATACGAGGTACAGTTTTAAAAATATATTGCCTATTTATAAGATATTTATTGGCATTTAAAATTGTCGAGTTTTTATTTGAATACCATCTTTTTATGACACAAATTATCGAACATTGTGGCAAAATAAAATTTTTATTTAATGAAGTATTTTTTAATAAATGTCTGTAGCCGATAATGCTTATCTTTTATGTTTTTCTGACTACTTATAACAGTTACAACGAATAACGATATTTTTCTATAGAACTAAAAAGTTTTCAATAAATTCGATTTTTTAATCCAGTTCGTCCTTCAAAAAATGTACTTGCATATTACCTATTCTAATTTTTTTATTCATTTACCGTCCTCAGTGTAATATTATGTCTGCGAACTCGACAAAGGCTTTTTATAAAAATAACTTTAAAATAATACTTATATACTCAGTTTTTCCCGTGGCGGTGACCTTTAAGAGATGCCTGGCGCCGTATTGATTTATTTTTTTAAGAACCGTGAGTATACAAATAATACATTACGCATTTGCCAGATTTTCTTGTATAATATTGAGGAATTCACACCGGGTGTTGCCAAACGATAGCATGGGAGATTAATAATATTCTAAAATCCTATTAAAACTGGGCCAAAATCCTATAATACCTAAATGAATTAATAGATTATCCGACGGAAAAAAAAAAGAATGCGGATTTTTACCGTTTTTAATTTTATAAAATCCATACGTCCGTACCAATAAGGCTGAAAACCTTAACAAAAACCTTAAAAAAAAAGAATAACAATAATAATAAACAATCATCATTCAATGTCAAATGAATGGAAATTGACAACTTAATAAGAACATTACAATAAAACATGGGTATAATCGTGTAATTTTTTAGCTACAGTAAAATGTTGACAAAATATGTACGGAGAGTGAGACACCATCGTCATCATTACCCATTAGATATCTATGAGATAGATGGACTATTGACTCAAAGAGAAAATATCTGACCGAAATTATGATCACATTGTATAGGAGGTTTATTCTTACGTTGTATTAAGTGATTATAGTGTGGTGACTGGATAGTAAATTACGATAAATACCATATAATAATTACTATTATTAATATTCTCGGTGTAAGTATCTACATACCTATACGTAGGGTTTAATTGAATCGTCACGTCGTTGATAATATACTTATGTCCAGAAATATTCGTAAGTTATTTTTCGTTTCTTTCAGATTTAAAATGCACTGCAGGCATAATGCGTATTATACATATTTTATTATTGTTCTATTCAATTATTGTGTTTTTTTTTTCAAACCGTAATTACAATGTACTTATATAAAATCGTTTTTTTTTAGACATAACTCATGCTGTTGGTACGAGTATAACAATATTATAATATAAAAGATAACAACAAATATTATGTAGGGGGGAAAAAACTCTCACGTTTGTAATATTATTACGTTATGATTTTATTAATATCATTAATCACGCGATAGTTATATATAATTATAAATTATAATAACGAACATAGGTAATATTATATGATGTATAATTAATAATATACATACCTACCTAATATATATACGCTCATGAATCTACCTATAGCCACGCACACACTACAACGGAAACGAAAAAAAAAAAGACGATAATTATTTGTAGGTAAAATATTATTTTATAGAGAACGAGGCTATGCCAGTATTTACTCTTAGTCTCTGCGAAGTAGAAAAATTCCGTTGTTCGGAACCAGCAGTACATTTTTAAAGGAGGTTTTCTGTGTTTAAATTGACACAAAATGCATACACAAAACGTTTATTGGACAGTCATCTTTTCATTCTAGCTAATAATAGTATAAGAATCAAAATGAGAACAATAGAGAGTGCATAAAAATAAAATAACAAAGGAAAAAAGATGATTACCGAAAATTCGGTGGTGAAAATTAATAAGAGAAAAAAAATTAATGAAAGAAGTGAAAACACGTAAATAAAATTGCTTTTTTAAAAATCCTTTTAAAATTCAACCCACTCAACGTTTTTATGTTATAACTAGAGTTCAGATTTGAAGGCAGCCTTTTTTTTTTTAATAATAATTTGTATATAAAAATGTGTCATTTAATACCGAAGATGATGGTTGTTATTTTTTGTGCCTTTTTTACGTATAAATCTTTTATTTATAAAAATGTATATAAATTCAACAAAGTAATATCGAAGAACAACAACGATGGGAAAACATAAAAAAAAAAATCAACCAAGTATCAATTGGAAAAACAACAAACTATGAATATTTATAAGTAGTAATCTTAAATTAGATAATTAGTTATGTATAAAATACGCCCTAATAACTTCAGTGTTCGTAGGAATGATCATTTTCTATGTACTTACAAAAATATGTGAAGCCCAAACCGAAACGTGTTAATGAAGACATTTTATCTAAGTATATAGTTATGAACTTTTTTTTTAATCAAACTAGTTAAATCAACTGAATTCTATTAAATTTTTTTGTAAATTTTGTGATTGCCTTTTTTATATAAATTAAATGTTAAATTTTAAACGCTGTTTTTTTATTGATTATATTGCCTTTAAATCCGAACCCAAGTTATAACCTTTAGACTATAGGACCACATTGTATGCGAGTCGAGATTGATAGGTTACTATTACCATCAATTTGACATGGACCAAAATAGGGGTATCAAAGTGACCTCATATATAGTGTAAAGTTAATAGGAACATTAAGCTTATAACATTTTTTGAAATATTATCATACTTCATTTAAAGCAATGTACAACTAAAAGAAATGATTTCTATAGTTATGAATAATAGTTTTTAAAAAAAAACTATAAAAAATTATCAGTCACCCCATTTTACGGTACAGATAGAAAATATACTATACTAATACAATATGTATTATATTGGAGCATGTAGGCGTGTGGGTATAAGATCACGTTTTCTGTGTATAATGTTTTTTTATTTTATTTTATATTACGTGCTTAAGCTCTTTAACAACTTTACCAATCGATCTGTCATCAGCCACCCTCGGAGAGCAAAATGTAGAGAAGAGTCGGAAGGCACGCGTATTTGCCACCTACGCACGAGCGTTTTGTTATTTTTCTTTCGCTTTTTAGATTTGTAACTTTTCAGGTTTCATTCATAAAGCTCGTGTCTGCCGCCCACCACCGCTTGCCCGTCAATGGTTTAGGCGCAACAGGCTTTTTTCTGTTTTCGTTTTATTTAACCCCAGACGGCGGTGGAAGCGGTGACGGAACCGAGAATCTGTTAGTACGAATTTGACGTCACAAAAGTGCCACCACCAACAGTGCACCTCATATTACGCTAAACATAAAAATAATATTCAAATTTTCAATCACAGGGGTGGATTGAAGAGTATTCGACTCATTGTTCCATAGACGATTAACTGTCCAAAAATATTTGGTCCAGTCAAGGCTGTAGTCGTAGAAAACAATTGGGTATGAGAGCATGTAATTTTATTTAAAATTGATATATCATCTAGAATTTTGTTAAAAAAATTTTTGGCGATACCTATGAATCGTTTGTACGTTGTTTATTTTTTAATAGTTTTAATTTTTTGCGTGTATAATAAATCCATAATAAATGTATGATTTTAGAATATCATCAAAATGTATAGGAATACTGCAGTGCCCCACTGTTATAATCATTATTACTAAAACCTTGTGCTATGATGCTTATATTTGACATTTTTTATGTTTTTTCTTTTTGTTTAATTAAGATTTCTATAACATAACAGTCGATTATAAACATTAATAATAATAAATTAACTTTGATAGTAAAACAA